TGGCAGAACTCCATTCGTCACAACTTGACCCTGAATGATTGTTTCGTAAAGATTCCCAGAGAGCCTGGGCGCCCGGGAAAGGGGAACTACTGGGCCCTCGATCCCAATGCTGAGGACATGTTTGAGAGCGGCAGCTTCCTGAGGCGCAGGAAGAGGTTCAAGCGCTGCGATCTGAGCACCTATAATGCCTATGTGCACGACAGCTCTGTCTTTGCCCCTGTTCATGTGTCTCGAACAGCAGCATACACTAACCCCATCTACTCCAACATGACTGTCAGCCCACCCTACGGCCAGCAGCTGCCGTCTGCATACTACCCCTCATCCTCCCCTCCAGGCTTTGGAGCTGCTCAGGGCCGTATGTTCAGCATCAACAACCTCATCGCACATCCAGGTCCTGCTGGTATGCTCCCAGGACAGGTGTCAGAGATCATGCAGCCACCTGGACGCAGCTTTAGTCCAGAGGGGCTGCCAAATGGGCCCAGCCCCTGCAGCCTGGGCGCAGCGGCTTTCCAGAACCAGTCATGTGCAGGGACAGTGTCCAGTCGCTCATCCACTCATCCAGGCTTCTACTCCAGTGCCACTGGGCACCACGGCCCCCAGGGGTCCTACACACAGGGTCACCCGAGTCAGAGCTACGTCTCTGCGGGCCGCCTCCACTCCGACAGCATGGAGCATTACGGCCGCATGTCCCCCGTGCAGCTGGGCTCCTTCTCCCAGTACAACAGCTCTGGCCCCATCCCCAACAGCACTGGTTATCTACGGCACCCCACGTATGCAGGGAACATGGACAGGTTTGTGCCTGCGATATGATACAGCAGACCACGGACTCTCTGGCCCCATGGAGCCAGCTTTAGCGCACAAACATTTGTATTCCTCCTGTGAAATGACTCAACTGTGATGCCACATTCTTCACCAGCCATCTCCTGATGGCAATTTACTTCTACAGTATCGGTTTGCGGACTATTCCCTCATCGTCATAGTGACAATGGGTCAAAATAAATGCTTATTAAAAAGGACAGTGCTTGTGCTTTATGGTTAAAGGTTTTGCGTGGCTTCATTATATGAAGAATGTAAAAAAAAAATAAACAAGCTGTCAGGATGTCATTAGGATACATCCAGAATCCCTTTTTTGCAAATAAAGAAATAAGTTATTCAAGTCTGGATTATTACAATTACTTTATCTGTCCCAACATATTTGAGCATGTTGTAGAATTGGCGTCTCAGCTCAGCGGGCTTGAAGTGGCGTCTGGAGCCGTGGCATTAGTGTCCTTTGTCGAGACCAGACATCAGCAGCTCACTTAAACACACGCTTAATCTAGCATGTACATCCACTAATCAGGAAAACAGTCACCTGGAACACAAGCTGAGCCAAGCAGCACATCCCCGGCATGTTTGCTCAACTGACAAGATGAGACTGGAACAGCCCATTACCACCTTGAGACATGTTTGTAATGACACTATTTTTACTGACAGATACAACTTTACCTGAATAGCTGCTAATTGTGTTGAGCGCTTCAGATTTCACAGTCCTTGAGAACACACGTCTTACAAACTGCTTTTTTTTAAAATTATGTTTATTAAATAGCCAAAATAAGGACATTGTTGGGTTTTAGATTTGTAGAAATTGTGTTACACAAAAAGTTATTCTAATACAAAATGTTAACAGTTCAAAATTAAAATATTACAAATATTGTTATTATTTATTACTACATGCAATAAACTAGCAAACAAAACTTAAATAAAATTATCCCACATATTGAATAAGCTGCTGAAGTTGATCACAATTTCTCACACTTAGAGGCAAAGACAGCAAAGTCTGTAAAGGGGAAAATATGGTATCAAAAATGATAAATTTTGACAGTACTAAGTAGTAATTTTGAAATACAATTATATACATGTAAAAAACCAAGCCCACCTCTCGGACTTTGTTGATAATGCGGCTTAACATCTGGAGCTCCTTCTCACTCTTCTGCTGATTGGTCTGGTAAATACTTTGCTGCAGAAACAAAAAACAATTTTCTTTTAATATAATAACATAACTAAGAACGCTGCAGTTTGGAGCATTGAACTTACATGTCTTTTTGCCCTTTCTAGAAGTTTATTTCGGGCCTGCTCCTCAGCCTGAAGGCTCGTCTTCAGCTTCTCCAACTACAATATTGGTTACATTATTTAAATGTCATTTTTTTATTAATTAGTTGAATAATAATAAAATAAACGTACAAATGAATTCAATAAGAGATGGCAACAAAGAACAGACAACGTAGTGTGTGTGTGTGTCCATGTACCTGAGCAGAGGGTAATTTTATTAGCAAAATAAATAATAAAATAAAATAATATTAAAAGAGGTCTAGTCTGTGTGAGTTAGGTAACCTTCATTTGATATTAATATTACATTTAAATTCAATTCATTTTTGTATAGCCCTAACAGTAGTAATCTCTGAGAATACAGATATTTATACATCAATCGTCAGTGCCACCAGTTATTTTTGTATACCTATATTTCTTATTATTATGCTTTATTCAGATATTTCTTCTGTCCATCCACTACCATCTCTATTCCTAATTCCTCTTCCTTTTTTGTGTACAAATGTGTGTCAAAGGTTGTACACTGGGAGCACATACACTATACCTTGCTCAACACACAGATTTCTATGATAACACAAACTAATTAATAGTACAAGATCAATGTTAAAGCCAAGAAGGGGTCATTCAGTAAAGGCTTGGGTTCACTATGGTTACGACCAGGACTAGGACTAGGGCACACACCTCCATTAATAACACAATCTTCTCGTCCCTGGAGTCTGGCGCCGATTGACCAGTGTGTTTTCTCAGCTCGTCGTGAAGAACCTGAGCCTCAGCCTTTGACTGCTGCAGTGAACGCCGCAGCCCCACCACTTCTTTACGCAATTCCTGGGAACAACAGGTTATGTTTACACAAGACATCACTGTAATACAATCTATTTGTGAAGAAAAGTCTCTTCTTACAGAGTTATCTGCCCTGAGTTTGGTAAGCATCTCTTGAAGCTCGTTCATGTCTACCAACAACTTGGACACGGTCTTGTCCACCTGGATTAAGAACATACGAGACAATGTGTCGGACTGTGAAGCATTATACATGTATAGTTTTGTGGATGTGGTGCTGACCTGGGCCTTCTGCTCGAGGGCCACCTTGTCCTTTTCCATACGGGCTTTGAGCCGACTCAACTCAAACTGCAGCTCTGACACCTCAGTCTGGTGAGTGCCGTGTGCATGCTCCAGCTCCCTCTGCAGGCGCAATCTGGAACCAAGCACATTTTACACCTCAGTCCACTATAGTCCATTTTCTAGTGTAGTGAGGTCCCTTTTCTCTGATGAGCTTCTCATTCTAAAATCAAAACTCATTTAAAGCAACACAAATATGATCACAGGGTTTATACACAAGTACTATGAAATGGGCGGAAAAAACACCTTTAAAGACTTGCCCAGTCCAGTCCAGGTTCAGACAAAGACTTATTTTACAGCTCATAACCACAAGACAATTTAAAGTTACACCTGTCAACGAACACTTTCTGTACAGCGACACAGCTTCATACAAAAGTTTATTGTATTCATTTCTGTTATTGATTTTATTAGTCCTTTATTGTTCCAAGGCACCATCTTCTTGTGAATGCAATGGAGCGCCGATTTCTGTACACTTGAGAGAGGATGCGTATTTGAAGATTGGAAAGTAGCGGACCATGATTTCAGAAAAAATCTGGATCCAACACTTCTGAATGATGCGCACCACATTTGAGGAGTTAAGCGGTGGGATATCTCGTGACACCCTCTGCGCACTGCCAAGAGAGAGCCAAGTTACTTACTATTACTGTAATCAGAATTTGTTTTATCTTATATGTTGCAGAAGCACTCCTATATGCACAATGAGTTGAGAAGTTTTATTTTTGAATGAAGAAAAGGCAATATGAATTTCTTCAAAAACAGGAAACAAATGTGACCTTTGTTCCTACTTAAACTGACTTTTCTTTGAAGTTCGATAAAAAAATAAAAAGTATTGTATTTGCAGTAGTTTTGGAAGGTTATTTATCCTTTAAGAATATTGTTAGATATTTTATAGTGAGATATTTCAAAATATTATATTGCGATTATTTTTTTCTTTCTCCATATCGCCCAGCCCTACTTGCGACTATAAGCCCCAAATTGTTTCAAGTTCTTTGAAGCCTGCGGCCAATGGAGCAATGTGGCCAATAAATGTAAGGATCCCTGGGGTAAAACAGAAAAAGCGTTTGACTTTGAGGGAATAATAGGGAATTTACACTGTAGGCGCTAATAGCGCGTAAGCATTGACTGTGCGCATAGCCAAGTAACGAGGTCATTACTTGGCTGTATGTACACTGGCCGAGCGCGCAGGTCTGCGGCTTCTGATGCTCTCCCTGTGTAGTCTATGGAGAAGCGTAGAGGACAGTACGGGCCAGAGGACTGATGTAGAGAAACACAAATCACATGCATGTGTTTGTCTTCATGGTCTCTGTGCGCTGGTCTTGCCAGAGGACTTTTTTCATTTTTTATAAATGAAAAAAAAACCTGATGTTCAGAATCACTGTAAAACCTGCTGCTTGTCGTGCTAATGTTTAGATACAGGTGCTGTGTGTGTGTAAATGCGATCTAAAACCAAGGTTTCACATGTGTTTTGACTGGGAGACGCGCTGCTGCGCGCACAAAATTAGAAATCCATCCTAAATTAGGCACAGTCTCGCGTCAATACGTCCGTCATACGGACGTATAATACTTGTAGTGTATATATCACCATTGTATGCGTCTGCTGCGCGTACAATGCGTACGTGCTGTAACACCTCCTGTGTAAATTAGCAGTAAGAAGTACTAGTAGGGATGGGAAGAAATAAGCTAACCAAATAATTATTTAGAATCTTCAAATTAGTTTATGCATATCTGCACTACTGTCTTTGTCGATCCAAATGGACACACAGACAGACAGAGACAGACAGAGCCTCAAAGGACCACACGCTCACATGGTGTCCTGCTGCTGGTTTAGCTGGGCGTCCTTTTGCTGCTGCACAGTGCTCAGGGTGCTTTGGAGCTCTGTGACAGTGGAGTCCAGTCCCTGCAGAAACGAGGTCACCCTGGTCTGCAACTCCTCCTCCTCCGAACGTTTGGGGGACCCTCTCTTTGGAGTGACTGCTGTGATTCGCGTGAACGCACTGCACTGGCTGAACACCAGGCCAGGCGGGGCATCCGCTGCATCTGAGGGGCCCAGAGCAGAGTTATGTTAGGTAGCCAAAAACAGTGAACGTACATATATTAGGAGTATAGAATATACATACACACAGTTTATTCTCATTTCAAGTAAGAAACAACTCTTAAATAGACATTTTAGGCCAATTATGGTTAATGTTCATCTTGTCTTAAAACACAAAGTATGTGCCCCACCTGGGGTTGGGGCTTCTTCCCTCTCCTCTGCCAGAGTCACTGTGGAGCTGGAGACGATGTTGTGAAGTGATGACTGATCCAAATTCTAAAAGAAAAAATAAAAGGTCTAGTATAAATGGTTGTTCAAACTCTGATCACTGCTTTTCTTCCACCTCCCTCACCTCTTCCTTTAGACACGAGCGCAGCTCATTGGCCATACTCTGCACAGTGTGGTGTAAAAGGGCAATTTCTATGACCATCTGCTCGAGTTTCTCCTGGTGTTCCGTCCGACTGCTGTCCAGTTGAGTACGGACCAACGAGAGCTCTTCCTGAAGGTTCTTGTTTACGTGTCTATAGAAGGGCACGTTTATCATTACTAGTATATTAACTAAAATAAGGAGGTTCTTTTGCGGCAGCCTGGACTTACTGGAGCTGACACACTTTGGCGTTAAGGTCTTCACACACTATGTTCCTCTCCCGCAGACTCTGCAGGTTGGCCCTCAGTAGCCGCTCAATCTCCGTCACCTGTTCCCTGTTCAGCTCATTCTCAGAAAGTAAGAACTGGAATGACAAATGGTTTGAGAGTGTCCACATTAAACATTCTATCGCTTCATTATTAGCAATACAACCAATTTGTTTACTTTTTTTAATAGTCAAAAACATTATATTAAATTTAAACTTTTTCCATAAATAGACACATTACATTCAGATGGTTTTACGAGCTGTTAATCTCACAACGTGAAACTACTATGAAATGTATTACAAGTTGGATTGCAGAAGTAAATGTTAGCAATTTCGCTCCTGTGGACTCACCACCTGCAGGAGGATCAGTGGGGGGCTGGTGCTGTGTGTACTGGGTACAGCTCTGACTGCCACCCCCCGACCCAGTAATGGATTAAGGGGAGGACAATGGATGGATTGATGGATGTTAGCAATTTCACTTAACGTTTCTAATCAAAGACAAATTCTTTGAATATAATAAACATGGATAAAGAAAGAATCTGGTGCGACAGCTCAATATACTGTTAGATGGTGCAGTGTAATTTAAGGCAGTGGTCATGAGTTTGACTAGAGAGGCTCCAAAAGAGAATACTTGTGTTTCCTAAAGTATAAAGAGGCATGCAAGCCCCGGTGATCCAAGATGTGCTCAGTAGGGCACAAGGCCAGCAAGATTAGCAGAACTTGCCCATATTTGGGCATCATCTGGTCCTCCCGGTTCTGCGCAGTGGACGAGCTCCCATGATGCATTGCGGCACGTGTGTATGGCTCTCATGCACGTGCACAGGAGGCTCGACTGCGCTTTGACCAATCAGAACAGCTGATCGGAACGGAGTTAGAGCGAGAGGAATACAAGCAGAGTTTGTTGTATAAAAGTGTAGATTTATAGAAAACCAAAAGATTCAACAATAAAAAAAAAACACCAAAATCCCCACCAAATCCGACCCTTGTGAAAGCTGTAGGTTCTCGGTGAGCTGAGGCCGAGCCGTTTTTTATCGAGTTCTATGGGACTTTTTTCTGGGTAGCCCACGTGAATTTAGTCTGCAGTAGTACAGCTATCATGTGTTATTATTAGGGCTGTCAAAATTATCGCGTAACTCACGTTAATTACATTTTTCATTAACGCGTTAAAAAAAATTAACGCATTAACGCATGTCCGAATGACCCGCCCATTTATCCATAATATCACTCAGAATGATCCGTGTGAGATGGCATCAGAGCAGGTAGGCCCTCTAGGAAATTCAAGTCCCGGCTCAAAAGTGGCCAAAATGACGTGGACTCGGAATAAGAATTATTCAATGCTAGCATATAGCATTAGCTGACCTCTCGAAAACGTCTTTACAGGATGGTCCAAAAGTTGGCTCTTGGCCCAAAGCTACGTTCCACATGTGTGTCAATGCTGAGGGGAGTGAATTCAATGGCTGCGCAGCCATTTTGAAACTGCCCACAGACCGCAAAAGTTGTGGTAGTTAGAACGGCGGAGATAGACGTGACTACGTCCGTTAATATTTTACAGTCTATGGTTATTATAGATCCATAGGGGCGGAGAAAGTGTTTGTGTCAGTTCCTCACAACCTGAAGTGTCATGGGTAGAACTAAAACCAACTCCAGGACTTATAATGATCAAGGGAATTGTTTTGAAATACGGTGTAAAATTGCAAAATTAATTTAAAATAGAGGCAATATTGCATAATACATGGGTATGATTGACAATTATCAAATTAACATTGAATAATTTTGCAATGTTTAACTCTAAATTAAGATTATATTAAGGAAATAAGACAATTTGTATTCAAATGTGATGACTTAGGTGGGAGGATGGGCGGATGTGTGTGGTTAAAAACGTGAGGTGGATAAATCATAGGCACTCTAGAGTTGAGAAGTTGTTCATAAGCCATACTGATCATGTACTTCTATAGAGAATAGAGACAGGCTGAAATAAATCCGGTATGAAAATAAAGAAAGTTGATCAGTGGTGGTCTGGCCCAGCTCACCTCGTTCTCCTCACGGACTTCTTGGAGCAGGGTGCACTCCTCCTGTAGCTGCTGCAGCTGTTGGGCCTGGGTCTGTGCCACGGACTGAAGCTGACAGAGCTGCTCTTCACTATGTGACAGCGCCTTTGACAGGTCACCCACGCACTGCTCCGATTGTGCCAGCGACAACTCCAGTCTGACCATGGAGACACAATCATGTGCAAATTTAATGGGCTGTATGCCTTTGTGAGGAGTTCCCTTCAAAAACTTTCCTCATCAATATTTCAAAATGAAAGTGAATATTCTATACTGCTTATCCGTCAAAAGATTATTGGCACCAGAAGACCAATATTGATATAATGGCCAATTTCTTTTTTTCTTTTTTATTTCTACAACAAATTATTAGTATAGCCTCCTGGTTGAAACAAAAATACAACTTAACCACAAATTTATTAGACATTCAAACATGTATTAGTCTACTGCACAACACCACAGCTGTGTCGAAAAAAACTGGTTTGGTTACACTTCATTTTGATAAAATCCCATCCAATACAAGTCATTATGGTTTACCTTGTGTTCTGCCCAAATCAGCTGTTACACAACATCCAGTCTGTACAGCGGGAGCTATACTTTCATATTTTCTTTTTGTCTCATAAGAAATGCATTTAAGGTGGTCCCTCGTTTTTCTTATTTTTTATATTCTAAAAAGAACCCATAAAAGCTAAATTTTTGCTAAGTAACAGCAAAATATTTCAATGCAAGGTTTACGAGTATAGGTATTAAGAGGGAGAGGATGTGGATGAGTTTCTTTCCTGAAGCCATAAGACTACAAAACCGAGCCTAACTTTTACTCTGTCTCTGTTTCTGTGTTATTATTCTGTTATTGTGTGTTCCGAATGCTATACTGAACATCTGCTGGCGTTACACAAGAATTTCACTGCATGTAAACAAAGAAATGTATGACAAAGAAATAAACAAAATAAAATAAAATTGAACTTATTACTTACTCTTGCACCCTGTCCTTGGCTTGCTTTATGTCTGCCCATGACTGTTGCAAGCTAGGAAAAAAGACAAAGTGTGAATTACTGGAAATACTTATACGCTGCATGTAAAGATGCAGGAGCATAGAATTGTACCTTGTAGTTTCGACAGCGAGAGCTTGTTCCAAAAATGTGTAGGAGGCCAAAGTGGACGACACAGTGGCGGACAACTCTGTGGCCTTCCGGTCCAGCTGGGCACGCTCCTCCTCACCCTCACTCAGCTTTTGCCGTAGAACTCCCATCTCTGATCAAATAAATAATGCTTATATTAAGAGTCCAAACAGAGGTCAAACAATACATGGGGAATTATAAAGTGAGAACTGTTTTACCTGATGTCAAGATTGTCACTTGGAGATTAAAATTGCTGTTCTGTTCCTTTGCAGCCTGGAGATTTTGGAGAGCCTGGCTGAGCTCCTCATCAGTCTAAAACATAAACATAACAACTTACAAAATCGCATACAAAAGTATTAAGACATTTGAATAATAGCATCATTTAATTCTTGATTACAACCTTAATATAAATAAAGTGGATGCAAAAATATATTAAGTAAAATTAAGAATGTTTTTTAACATAACTTCAGGATCTCAGACTTTAACATTGTTGAACAGAAAGGAATATTACTTTACACATATTATACATATTATATGGGGCGACAGTAGCTCAGTTGGTAGAGCATTGGCCTTAAGGCCAGAAGGTCGTGGGTTCAATTCCCACCTCTGCACCTTCTCCATCGACTCCCACTGATGACTGCTGTTGTTGTGTCCTTGGGCAAGACACTTAACCCCACTTTGCCCAAAGCCCCCACTGAAAGATCAAGGCTATGCTCACACTCAGAGAGCAGCCGTCCTCCTGTGGACTCACCACCTGCAGAGGGTCAGTGAGGGGCTGGTGCTATGAGACTTGGGTGGCATCTCTGACTGCCACCCCCTGACCCAGAAATGGATTAAAGGGTAGAAAATGGATGGATGGACATATTATACAAAAAACATTAAAAATTGTGAAGTAATTTGTCCAAATTATATTGATAAACATATGTTTATCAATATAATTTGGAAAACTGTATCCAAGAATAGAAACAATATTAAGAATAAAATGAACAGAACAAATGTTAGGGTTAGTTACAGTCTAAACATTAAATCAATGTTTTTAATTGAAGGCATGCAGGTGTACACATGTTGAATAATTTTGCCATATTGGTTGGCTTTTATGCAGCTCTTACTCTAAATTAGATTATGTCAAGGAGATTGGGCAAAAGGCAAATTGTGCTCAAATGTGATGACTTAGGGGGAGCGATTCACCTTTCATACAGGAAGAGAGAAATTGTTTATAAGACGTCATACAAACTGAATATGTGCTTCCTTAGAGAGAGCCTACAATACTATTCCATAAAAAAACACATTTTCTAAGGGTGTCTAAGGGTTTGATGTTGGGTTAAGGGTTTCAAAACTTGGACAGAAGGGACAGGCAGAGTGTGTGTGAGAGTGGGCGTGCATACATGAAGCAAAAACATGTTTTTTATGAATGCTGTAAGACCTGTTGCATTTTCCATACCTGTTCCTTGTCTTGCACGGCTTGATTCCTCTCGGCGATGAGCTGGTCTCGGTCTCTAAAAGCAGCAGCCGCCTTCTCATTCAGCCTCAATAACAGTGGAGTGCACCTCTGCATGAGGGCCCTCACTCTGCAGAGCTGCCACCACATGACAGGACAATGAACAAAGTTTACCGCTTTCATGAGTGAATACAATCAAACCGGTCACATTACCTCATTTGACAGACTGGACTGCTGGGCTGTGGTTTTAGACAAAAGCTCAGTGGTGGAGTACAGCGTCTCAGAATAAGCCTTATTCAATGCAGCCTGGAAAAAACAGCAGGCCAAGCCCTTCAGAAAAGCTCAAGCAAACAGTTAAAAGCAGATTTAGCTTTATTTGATAATAAAGAAACAGCATTAGTTTCCTTACTGTTTAAAAATGTTTAAAAGTTCATCATCATCATCACCAAATCATCAGAATTGCTAAACCTCCAAGTAAAGTAGATTTATATTTTTTTCTGTGTAAAACCATTATTTTTGTAGTTGTACAACACCAATGTTGATCTAAAATAGCAATAGAAAAATGTCACATCAATGTCTTTATACACTTTGTTGTGAGAATGCACCCACGTTCATAGTCTTGTTTACAATTTATAAATGCTTTCTCAAAATGTAGTGATCTTTTTTGATACCGTAAGCTTGTTGCTACCGTAACTATCTTCAACATTCATAACTGAAAATGATCACTTGTATGCTGTTGACAGCGAGTACAGTACTTGCTGGACTATTAAGTGCACTTGTATACTCTATAAACCACACCAGCTATTCTTTTTAGTATTTTTGGTCCAAATACAGGCGATACTTAACCTAACATAAAGCCATCATGTTAATTGATGGAGCAAAAGAAACCTGATAGGTTTGTTTTGACAGTTTTAACTGGACCAAACATGATTTGATAACGAGGTGTACACAGTCGACTCATGAAGACCATAGCACTAAATCCAGTCTATTTTGATAATAGTCCTACCACCATCAACACTTGCTGGAGTTTAAACAGCTCTCTGCTGTTCACCTATACACACCAGGAAGCAGGAAGGTGTGCTAGTCATCAGCGCTAAAGATCAACAGCTGTTGATAAGAGCCGTGTCCAAATCCATTCCTTCACCCCTGGGGGGCGCTCTAACCATCCTCTCTAGATAAGGCCGCAGAGTATTGGAAAAAGTAGCAGCCTATAGTCCAGGAAGTACTAGAATAGTATTTGTAAAAACCATGTCTACTGTAACATCTTCTTTCCCACAGTGCCATTACCTGTTCATGTTGAGCTTTATGAAGAGCAGACAATAGTTCTTGCTGAGATCCCACACATTTCTCCAGCGCAGAGATTTCCACAGAACAGTGTTTTCTCAGTTGGCCCATAACGCTTTCGGTCTTTAGTAGACACAACACAAAAAGGCTCATTCAAAATCCTGACACAGTAGCATGGTTGAATTTCGTGCTTTATAACTGGCTGTAAAACGTACAGAATCTTTAGCAGCGAGAGCCTCCTCCATCTGTGTGCGCATTTCCTCTTTCTGCTCAAGAGAATCTTTTACTTTCTGTATCATTCTCATCTGACACTCTCTTGACTTCACCAAAAGGGACTTCATCTGAGCATACTGCGTGCATCAAATAAAAACAATTGTAAAGAAGAACAAACAATGCGATTTTCATGCTTTTGTAACACATACATCAGACACAAGGCGATTGTGGCCATCCCTAGCAACATCACCAAAGCATTTCATTTGACCGAGAGCTGCATCGACGTCGCTCATGAACGTAGTCTGAAAAAAGGGAAACAAAATTCATTCTAAATGACCACAACCTACTTTAAATATATTATGTTTTTCTCCCTTTACCATATTTTTTTTCACAATCTCAATATTCTGAATAACTGTTTGCAGTGATGCACCATCCATCTCTAGATCTTTAATTCTGTTCAGAGCCTCCAAGTAGAGCTCCCTGTGCAATGAGGTCTGCAAACACCAAACAAAATGTAACATTTTCCATTATGTTTTTATTTGGATCCCCATTAGCAAAAGCATTCTGTCATCTTCCAGTTTTACATACAACATTTTCCAAATATCATTCAGACTAAAAGAAAAGACAGCTCAGTTAAATGTGTATGTGTACAAGCAGTGCTGTTCTGTTCAGTACATTTCATAATCTAAGATTTAAGAATTTAAGATTATGTGAGTTGGTGTTGAACCATATTTGAATATGGACGTGTCACCTTTACCTGGCTCAGTTCAGAGTGCTGGGTCTGAACTGCCCTCTCCCGTAGCTCTGACGGGGCTGCACCAGTAGAGGGCAGTGCGTGTGCTTGGGCTGAAGCCAGCTGCTGCACCAGAGCCTCCACGATGATCATGCTGGACAGGACCCTCTGCTCCAGCTCAGGTCTGGAGACGCCCTCCAGACAACCCACACTAGAAAGAATACATTGGCATTCAAATGATGTCATCAGCTTTATTCTGTGGAGATTTCCACTGAAATGTTTATAAACACATGCTTCATTTATTACATGTAAGGTATACATTTAATCCATTCAAAACATTCTCATACTGAAATTTGTTGTTAATTATTCGTTTAAAATTTCTGGTTTTAGTTATCGCTGCGACTTACTTCCAGATGAGCGGGTCTGTTGACGTGCACTGATCCACAGCAGAGAAGCTCCTCTTCCTCTCAAACTGTCCGGACGTGTTGATGCTGTGGTTGACCATCTTCATGGGGGAGGTGCCCACGCAGGCGTTGTGTTGTTCGGCTTGGGGGGCCAACGCAGGCAGTACAGATACTGGACCCATCTTTCCTGAAGCCAACATGAGAAACTCAGCCATCTGTCGAAGTTGCTGCTGCAGTGTTCCGTCTGGCATCCCGGGCGCATCCAGGATAGGCTCACCAACTCTAGCCCCAGGCGGAGAACCGTCTTTATTAATCTCCATAGCAACGCATGCCTGAGATCGTTGTACCAGCTCAGTGGAATTAAACAGAGGCCGTGGGATTGGACTGTCCAGGTGCTCCCTCCATAATTTGAAATCATCACCCGGACATTCGGGTGATCCACCTCCTGACAGTGCACCATCATCAATGATCGGATCTATGACCAGTCCCTTCCGAGCCCGCATAAAAGCAATGGAAGCTCTACGCACAATTGGAGTAAGACATTTCTGGTACTGGAGCGGCGTGCACTCTGAGATGGCCTTGAACACCTCGGGAAGGGTTTCAGCTCGAGGCGGTTCGGTGGCGAGGACGTTGGCAGACAAACCGAGAGCGCCGTCTGGTGTTGCGTCACTGGACAAACAGGGAAGGAGGCTGCAGTGGACTTGAGACCCCCATTTTGAGCCGTGCATCTCAACATCAGGGTTTGATGAAGCTGTTATGGTAGCAAAGTCATTAGGGGAGCGCTGTGTTAAAGCCAAAGAACTGAGATCAATTTGGGATTTTTCTTCACCACGTTGTTGGCCGTTTCCAGATTGACAAGTACTTAAAGATGGAGCCATATCTACAGACACCGAGACATCCATGCCTTCAATTTTTTTTTTTTCTAATGCGATATTCTCTTTAGAGTCATTCACACTGTTGCTCGTCTGTGGGTTTTGACTAGATTGCTCATCGGACACAAAAGTAGCTGCCTTCTCATTGCTTTTGTTTTCCAGTTTAGAGCTCAACAAAACCCCTTTGAGTTCCCTCATCTCGTGCAAAACTGCATGGACACTTGCCTCATTTGCGACCTGAAAACTGTCCACTTCCTGGGCAGTGCAGTACGGGTGCTCTTTATGGTCATCGTCTTCACAAAATAGCGTTGAATGTACCAGATCGATGTGGGATTGGTCAGCATGCCCGCTCTGGTCAGCTGGTAAAGGAATAGTTTGCTCGAAAGTTAGTGAAGACTCAATTTCGATCTCACCCCCTGTACAGTTCAAGCATTTCAAAGTGATGTCACCAAGACCATCAGTTGGTTTCTCTTTTAGAAATTCACCTGCAGCACTATTGCTCCTGCAGTATAGGTGGTCCGTTTCTTCTTCACTCTTGTCGTCAGTATCAGAGATGTAACTGTCAACTAAAGTCTGTTGGAGATGTTCACAAATCTCTGGTTGAGGCAAAGGAATAGTGTCATCTGCCTTTTCAACAAGCTCATCTGATATTTCCACTTCGCCACCTTCACACTCAAACGACTTCAAAGTTACATCTGTAGGATTGTGTGTTGCTTGTTCAATGTCCAGCTCTTCAGGGTTGTACAACAGATGATCTTTACTGGACTGGGCGTCCACACCAACTGGAACATTCTTCAGTGCGTCATTAAGGGCAACAATAACCTGATCAACATAACACACCAGCAATTAATTTATATTAAAACTTTTTTTTTTTACATGACAAAACAGGGACATTCCATTTAATTCTCTCACCGATTCTGAACTGACAATTGATTTTGATTTAACATTTGATGTTTGAACATTGTCAGTCTGTAGACATCTCAAAGGAGTGCGCTCTTCACTTCTGCTGAAAGACTGAAGAACACATTTTAAGACACATTATCAATCATTGAAAGCAATGGCACATTTGGCAGAATAAACATAAAGTTTAAAGTGATTGTCTGGAGTTTGTCAGAAAGAGGAGAGAGAGGTACATGATTTAAATAAACCAAAACAATCCAAGCTCCCTCCCACTTCCTTTCTGTTTGGTCTTGAAGTCATGCCTACTTTTCCGAGCATGCTCCAGGTCAACGGGCCAAGACGTGTAGAGGAGATATCACTAATTTAAATATTTGAATATTTAATCATTATGGTATACAGTTCCTCACAGCAGCAGCAGAACGCTCCATTGATTTGAATGTAATTTCAAATCACGTTCTACCGATCATTTTTTCTTGATAACGGACCTCTCAAACCAATAACGTGCACAGAGGTTTTCAGAATGATCTGTTAACGTTTTCATGACAGAAATGTTTTAATGCGACAAAAAGCGATCGTGGTAAACCAGTAAGTAACTATTAACATTAATTGAAAATTAATTGAAATTAAGGTCAAATTTATATTTGGGTCCCTCACCGCTGATGTTCAGAATTCTTTGTTCACTTTTCAGGTACTTCCAGAGAGTTTTCAGAGTTCTAGTTTGGAAGTAACCTACTAGCTAGCCTTGCTGTTACCCGTCTGGCCACGTCACGACGAAACCTTTGGGAACTAACTATTTTATATATATAATTTCTACAACAACAACAAAAATATATATATATATATACAGGCATCAATTTAAAGTGGACGGCATCGTGGATTTTGAGCTATAGCTAAGATAAGGGAAGGCGGGACATACCCGTGATATTTACTCATAAAATGACTTATTTTATATCAACATTAATGCCCAGGAAGTCAAGTTCCAGACTATCACTTTAAAAGTATTGGTCGACTACTGTCGTATTTTAGTTTGTAGTAAAACAGCAGTTTGCAGTAAATTCAATGTAAATATTTTGATTAGAATCATCAACCCTAAAATCGCCCAAAGGCAAAAAATAAATAAATAAAAATAAAACAGATGAGTTTCCCTGAATTATACTGTCAACAAACAAAAAAATACATATCATATACCGTATTTTCCGGACTTTAACCCGCACCTGATTAAAAGCTGCACCTGTCCCTTACGCTTATATTGAAAAATGTAGCTAGAAAACATTCATTATAGCTTGTTTTTACTGAAGAATGAGAAGCGAGTCACTGACTGTTCTAGTGTGAAGCAGATAGATAAAGAGCAACATCTACTGGTCTCTCTTCACCTTTAGGTCGATACAAAGACCAAACAACTATTATGAGATATTTACATAAATTAGGATTTTAAGATAAGAACTAGTCACATTTGGCATAGATAGAATCACTCCAATCTTTAAACTTTATTTAATCTGCATGATTGGGAAATCTTACAATATAATTGGACCACTGTGAACTACTCTTTAATTCTGTTGGTCTGGTGTTAATTGGCAAAAGGTTTTTGGCCACCCAGGAAAAATAAGAAATAAGCTGCACCTTACTATGGGCCGCAGCCTTCAAAATGCAGTAAAAAAGCAATGGATTATAGTCCGAAAAATATGGATACGTGTAGCTCTATCTATGACTACTACTATTATTTTAATAGTACAGTGGTCATTTTGTTAGCCGACTAAAGCTGATACGCTGATGAAAATAAGAAATGTTACCAATCCATAATATATACATCATCTGTGTTGACATTTTGATCTTTTTAGATGCATTTTTTATATCATTTTGATCTGTGAAGCACCGAATTGCCTTGTGCACGAATTGTGCAAAATACAAATAAATGTTGATTGATGGAAGAAATATGGACACCGTGAAGGCTTCCAACAAGAGAACAGCAATTATTGCTGAAAAAACATTTTACAATTCATTAAAATCGGATTATACTTATAGAATAGCAATTACTGACAAAAACATACCTTGTTAATGTACATTTGATACATTTTAAAATCGTTCATTAACTTAGAACAACGCAATAAAACGTTTGAAAGGGTAAAAACTTACCATAGGATTTCCCCCTAATGTAGACCGTCGGAATGACATGTTTGCGCTTTAGACGCCCGCCTTAAAAATAACCATAATACAGGGGTCTCAAAAATGCATTTGTGTAGAAAGCAAATAAAAGAGTTGCCATGATGAACCATTTGAGACGGTACATCGTAAAATGTAGCATAACGTTAATGCAGAGGCAATCATGGACAGAAATATCCAGGGGTATTTGCAATATTCACCAGGATCTAACCCATACTTTAGATTTGCTTAACTTTGGATAACAGCTTTAAGTTATTGTGCACGTAAATGTTCGTCGGGTCCAGTTCATTCCCTGCAGTGACCCATTCGTCTTGCTGTTCGTGTGTTGACAAACTGAAGCCCAGTTTGTGAACAGACCTCATGACGCTATTGCAAATAAGAACATTTCTCTGATACAATTATAATAGATAGATACTAGTGAGCTAAGTTATTGAAAAAACGCCTTTACCTTTTAGGGAAGTTGGAAACTGTCAGAAATCATACGCGTTACTTTTAAACAAATTCTCCGCGAACAACAGTGACTTGAGCTAAGCTAACGCTAATGCTAGCCGCGTCTGTGCCGTTCAAACTGCACTGTTGCCTGCTCATTGGTCCAATTCACTACGACTACTACTACTACTCCAGTTTAGATAGAGACCATTACCGCCCCCTCCTGGACACAGCTGCAAACATACACAAGCAACACGGCGCTGAGAAACGGAACAAGGCTGCATAATGGATCATGGATCAATAATAGAGATCCAGATTCAGAATGTATCTACTTCCTTCTTCTAATTTTTTTGCATTGACAAGGTCGCCCCAGGTGTGGTCAAGTAAAGATTACGACCTTTTTAATGTCACTTACGCGAGTTGTTTTGCTATCTAGGGTGTTTAAAAAAAACAAAGATAAAGGATACGGAAGAGGGTATGTTTATGAATGTGGATCTCCTAAACCTGACTGAGGTAAGTAAATAATCATCAGACATTAACTCAATACTTAAAATTAAGGACACCATTAATACCCATTTATAGATGGGTAAAATTATGTAAAAAAGCAATTCGTGCAAAAAGCAGCACACACACACTATACTTACTAAACAGATAATGAAATGTGTACATCTTTAATGGAGAAAAAATGTCACACACAATTTTGTAGTAACTAGACATATATGCAAAATATCTGGTTCATTTACATTTATCATGTTTGCATTCAAGTGTGAGCAGTGTTTTCAGTAACTGTGGGTGGCAAAATAAAAACTCTTTTTGTATCATCTACTATGGAAAAATATTTTCTTATTTGTGCTCATTAACGTTGATTAATGACCAAAGAAATAATTTAGTAACCGAAACTTGGACAGCACTTTTCCAAGGTGGATTTTCTACTTCCATACTCAAGAGATAAATGTGAGAACATTGATCAGTATAATTTATTGTTTTATATAATTTATTAACACCATTTCGCTCATAGGCGTCACCAAGTTATATATATTTTTTTTGTGTGTGTTAAATGTATGTTTTTATTTTGATCATTATTTTGATTCCAGTAACAAAATATAAATCAAAAGATTACTTTTTTTCCCCACATGGTTAATAGTACGAGCACTTTATATGTTATTTCAGTTGGATGTGAAGAGGCCGGATTTGCAGAACCTCTGCAAAGCCTTGCCCGAACCAGCAGGTGACATCAGCTGCATCTAGTGTGAAGTAAAAGAGTTTATCAGTGCAGCGCTCCCTCCTGTATACAGATCGAGGGTCAGCCGACAGCACCGCTTTGATGGCGGCTGTGGCCTCCTTTGTACTGCGCAGGAACTGGAACTTTGGTCCATCCTGATCATTGCATCCTGTATCAAAACAAGTTTGAAGATTAACCAAAAATCTGTTCTATCAAAACAGAACACATTTCAGAATGGTGCACAAACTGGATTAACATTGTTATAATTTCTACAAATCTGTAAACGTTGATGCTTTTATCCTTACCTGACGGAACAAATTCTGAAAGTTGTTTCTCAGCATGTGCAGTGAAGCGCACATCCAAACTTGAAACTGGAGGCTCCCTTATCCAACTGGCAATAGTACTGTGAGTGTCTTCACCATAACATGGCCTTTCTGAAGAAGACTTGGATGAATTTTTTGGATAGTTTAGACGTTCATGCTTCCCTTCTAAACGGTCAGTATGATCAAGATAGGCCTTGACATCCTGCATTGCACTATTTAGTTGAGAAAATGGATCACTGCTATTTGCTCCTCCAACTAAGTCACATTCCATGTTTTGTCTTTCAGTAATAGCTATAATATCAATTCTTTCATTTTCCATCTTTTCCACTTGTGGACACTCATCACTCTGACTTATATCTGTTCTGTAGTGAACAGAGTCATACTCTGGAATGTAAGGTTTGATGTCCAGCACAGGGGTCCCATCTATCATGTCGATGTCTGACAGGTACACAGTGTCACCTACAGAAACAACACAAACACGTAAACTTCATGTAAGTTGACCACAGAATACTTTAATACTGACCTGCAATTCTCTCCAGTTTAGCTAATGTTAATCCTAACGCATTGGGTCGATGGGGGCTCCGTGTCGAGTACACACCAACTTTTTGACCATTGAGTCTTGGTGGCTTTACTTTGGCTTTGGCAGATAGGTGACCATTTTTATGGAACATAAAAATTACCCTAGAGAGAAAACAAAACTGTAAATATATAGAACTATAACTATTTAAAATAGCAACATCTTACAAGCTACACATTTTAGCATTTTAAGAAGTATAGAGTTATTAATAAAAATCTAATTACAGTGTAAGTAAGTAAGCTATCTTTATTTATATACCACCTTTCACCGACCAGGATCACAAAGCGTTTTACAATTGTTATTTTTGGGAATGTGTCCTCTCACTCCACACAGAGATGGAAGCGGGGTCGCCAGTACAGGGGCGCATGCCAGACCTATAATACAGTGGTCCCTCACCAAAACGCTGTTCACCTCACGTCAAGTCGCCGTACTCAACGCACCTGCAATACGCAGGAGGTGAACATTGCTCAACCAACGCAACCGCATCAGAGAGCACATTCCTTTGGGATTAAACAAGTGCTGTTGACATGATAAGTAAGTACTAGTTCATTAATTCTGACACAGCTTCATGATGAGATACCCCAATAATCTGAAGTTTCTTGAGAACCAGACACGCTGTAGAGCTGCACTTGTGTTGAAGAACTTTGTTAGAACACAAAAAGCTGCTAGCTCAAATACATCAAAGCCCACCCACCACATCCACCCTACGTTTTTTGCAGAATCGCAGGGTAGTGTGTTGGTTTTAATTAAGTAATGCCAGTAAATTTCAGTAAACTGACATCCGAAATGCAACAGTGCTGCGTCTATGTGGCGTCCACATGCATAAACTGTAAAACTAGCACAATGTAAATCAAAAGCAGCATAAATACCAGACATGGGAGTATTGCTCTAGTCCCACCAAAGCGTGTTCAGGGTTGTTGAAGACACTATTCTGAATGCGCAGCTCGGCCCTGGCCTGGCCGCAGATGGTGGGCTGTCTAGGCGTCCCATTTTTGGCAGAGAAACAGGACCTGATGTAACCAATGGGAGCAGTCTGGATGACACCTTTGACATTACAAAAGACAATAAATGTCTAGTCATGTCTTAAGAGTTGCCAGATTTAGTTGTATTTACCTTGTTCCAAAGCACTCACTGGGGATGCGGAGGTGATGTTAGGAGTTTGAGCTTTACAAAGCTCAGACCGATCAATGTTTGTCAAAACAGACTGAAGAGATGTAAGTTGTTTACGATGGGCTCTTGTTGCACTGTCCAACATTTGCCTTGGAAAACAATATCAAAGGAAAAATTATTCAACTAAAACTGTAAATTGTTTGTATTCATTTTAACTCATGTTATGACGCTACAATCAATTATAGGACTGTAATCAAGAATGCTCTTGTATGTACGATAATGCTATCGATTATCCTAAGTCATTCATTGTTTTAAAGCAAATGTCATATTTTATTACTCAATTTGAACAAGATAAAGAATTGATAGTTATAATATCAATTCCTTCATTTTCCATCTTTTTAACTTGTTTGAAACTCATCACTCTGCGTCAGGACACTTTTGTTTATTTCTGTTATTGACTGTAGGGTCCTCCATCTCATGAGGTTTTTTCCCATCTCAAATTTCCCGAAAACATTGTAGTATGTTTATGTACTCTAATACTATAGTGTAAACAAAAATAATGGGCCTATAGTGCTCATTGTTTTTTCTCAGTTAGAACACCACATACCTCAGACCAACAGAAATATACACAGTGTCCCTTTAACTTCCACCAAACAAGCACACAGCTGCGATAAACACATATCCCGCTTAGCTTCGATGGCTGCCGTACCTGAGGTTCTTCATTTCTTTCCTCATCACAGAAACTTGCTGGTTGAGTTTCAGGAGCTTCTCCTGACATGTGTTGCACTGGTGACTCATGTTTGTTCTGTTGTTGTCCCTGTAATCCGAAGTTGTAGGATAGTCAAATGCCAAAAAAGCGCACAGCTATGTCACGACCATGGATCAAGCGTGGATCTATGCGGAAGTGCGAGCGGTTCAATGAGCCAATCAGAGGCGGCACGTGTAGTCAAAGCAGTTTTGTCGGTTTTGCAGTTTTGCTCTTTAATTCTGCGATCATCTCGTACCACGTGTGGAACAAGTAAGGTGCGAAGGTATTTGATAAAGCCTTATTGTAACATTAGATGACATTTCTGCAGATGGCGCTGTAACACCCTTTGCCCAGATGGACCATGGATGTAGTTTACAGGCCGCTTACACGCGTACAATATCAGTTTATACATAGTTCCCACAGACCAATGAATGTCACATGACCTCCTCGGAGACGCCATCTTTGATGGCACGCTGCTGTGTTTGTGCATTCCATTAAACAGAAGAATGAGAATAAATGTAGATATTCAAACGCAAATTGGAAAAAAAGGGCAACTTTTGAGCAAATAATTGTATATTAATACAATGGCACCACAGTTTAACGTGCTACGGACATGTTTTACATATTTGATCAAATTATGCAGCAAAAATTAACAAGCAATGCAAACATTTCTCAAAAACTTTAGATTTAATACCAGTTGGAGCTCCATTTAATTATTTTAATTATATTAACAATTAATTTAATTAATGCTAATGCCACACGGACACTCTGGATTGCTGTTATTGTTTATTTCCGCGTTTTTGACCGTATGTTTTGGTGAATGGTGGGCAACTGATTTTTCCAGGCGTAAAGAGCAGTTTATTTTATGACACAGATCTTTTTACAGAAGCAATGCTGTTTGTGAACATTGTTTTAGCCCACCATAGAACTATTATTATCTATTTAATACATTTACGTTGCCCTCGAGAGCCTCGGACGCGACACCGATCCTCCTCATAATAAAGTAATCTAACGCTAAATAATGAAACTCTCAAGTTACCAGATATCAGCATACACAAGTTAGTACTGAGTAAATTACGTCTGTCAACACATTATAAGATACGATACGCACCTGACACAAAGTGCTCCGAGCATATTCTTGCGTGTTTTGAGGGAGTTTCTTGCCTGTTTATCTTCGCAAGCCATAACCTCCGTGGTTGTTCTGACAAAAGCTTAGTCTTCTCACATTCATGAAGTCTAATGATGGGTATACTGTAAAATCCAAGTTTAACGGAACCTCCGGCACGATTTGAACATCCATTGACCCAGCAGGAGATGACCATTTTCAACTTTATCACGACATTAACACGTTTCAGCTTCTTTTTCTATTGTTTTGCCCACAGAATGCCAACACAGATGGCGCCGGGTCGGCAAATCCCCGTATGTAGTGACGTCATGTGGGAACTATGTATAGTATAGTTATTATTCCCTTACAACTTTTCTGACCTTTGATAGATTCTCAAATCCTTCACGTCCAAGCTTATTTGTCATGAATTGAAGTCCAAGTACTGAGCAATGTAAAAATGAAAAAACTAAAGTAATATTATATGGCGTTATTCTACCGCGGTAAAGTGGCCCGCATCTTTCAGCTCTATGAACAAGCGGCCCGCATCGGGGAAAATACGGTGCGCGTTTCTTTGAGAACTTACGGTAACAGCGGAACATCCTTTCGGAGTCACCCATTTTTATCGAACAGAAAGCGCGCTGGGGTCTGGGAGACACATTTTTGTGATTAAAACCTTATAGAGATGCCACCCGGCACACATAGCACCAGCCCCCTACGATTCCTCCTGCAGATTGTGAGTCCTCAGGAGGATAGCCACTCTATTGTTTACATATATAAAGTACACAATTTGGTCCGCTAGTGCAATTTTCAAGTATTGTAACTATTTAGTGGAATAAGGTGTGCGACTAATTTCACTTGACTCATGACCTTATTATTGCCCTCTACCACTGTACCAAAGACCAGAAACTTTTACTGTAGAAATTTGGAGAAATATGGAGTTAAAGTAGCCATTTGGGTCCAAAATAGCCTAAAAATGGTCAAAACATGTCACTTTTGATCTACTGTAACTTTTTACTGTAAAAAGGTGTGCGACTAATTTCACTGGATTCATGACCTCATGATTGCCTTCTACCACTGTACCAAAGACAAGAAACATTTACTGTAGAAATATTGAGAAATATTTATTTAAAGTAGCCATTTTGGTCCAAAATAGCCTAAAAATGGTCAAAACATGTCACATTTGATCTACTGTAACTTTTTACTGTAAAAAGGTGTGCGACTAATTTCACTGGATTCATGACCTCATGATTGCCCTCTACCACTGTACCAAAGACCAGAAACTTTTACTGTAGAAATATTGAGAAATATTGATTTAAAGTAGCCATTTTGGTCCAAAATACCTCCAAAATAGTCAAAACATGTCACTTTTGATCTACTGTAACTTCTTACTGTAAAAAGGTGTGCGACTAATTTCACTGGATTCATGACCTCATGATTGCCCTCTACCACTGTACCAAAGACAAGAAACATTTACTGTAGAAATATTGAGAAATATTGACTTAAAGTAGCCATTTGGGTCCAAAATAGCCTAAAAATGGTCAAAACATGTCACTTTTGATCTACTGTAACTTTTTACTGTAAAAAGGTGTGCGACTAATTTCACTGGATTCATGACCTCATGATTGCCCTCTACTACTGTACCAAAGACCAGAAACTTTTACTGTAGAAATATTGATTTAAAGTAGCCATTTTGGTCCAAAATACCTCCAAAATAGTCAAAACATGTCACTTTTGATCTACTGTAACTTCGTACTGTAAAAAGGTGTGCGACTAATTTCACTGGATTCATGACCTCATGATTGCCCTCTACCACTGTTTACAGTAAGAAGATGGACCAAAATGGCTACTTTAACTCCATATTTCTCTCCAAATTTCTACAGTAAAAGTTCCTGGTCTTTGGTACAGTGGTAGAGGGCAATCATGAGGTCATGAATCCAGTGAAATTAGTCGCACACCTTTTTACAGTAATAAGTTACAGTAGATCAAATGTGACATGTTTTGACCATTTTTAGGCTATTTTGGACCAAAATGACTACTTTAAATCAATATTTTCTCAATATTTCTACAGTAAAAGTTCCTGTTCTTTGGTACAGTGGTAGAGGGCAATCATGAGGTCATGAATCCAGTGAAATTAGTCGCACACCTTTTTACAGTGAAAAGTTACAGTAGATCAAAAGTGACATGTTTTGGCAATTTTTAGGCTATTTTGGACCAAAATGGCTAATTTAACTCCATATTTCTCCAAATTTCTACAGTAAAAGTTTCTGGTCTTTGGTACAGTGGTAGAGGGCAATGTTGAGGTCATGAATCCAGTGAAATTAGTCGCACACCTTTTTACAGTAAGAAGATACAGTAGATCAAAAATGACATGTTTTGACTATTTTGGAGGTATTTTGGACCAAAATGGCTTCTTTAAATCAGTATTTCTCAAAATTTCTACAGTAAATGTTTCTTGTCTTTGGTACAGTGGTAGAGGGCAATGTTGAGGTCATGAATCCAGTGAAATTAGTCTCACACCTTTTTACAGTAAAAAAGTTACAGTAGATCAAAGGTGGGAATTTTCTTAGTTTTGTGTATTTTGGACTAAAACGTGTAATTTGTCTCAATTTTACCCACAATTTCCAAAGTAAAGGTTTGTGGTTGTAGGCACAGCGGTGAAGGCAGTGGTGAGGTCATACACCCAGTGGAATAAGATACTCAAGTCTTTACTGTAAAAATGGACAGCAGCTGAAAATTTCACTTTTTGACCAAATTAAATGTCGAACATTTTAAGTTTTTACATGGTTTTCCAAATAAGGGTTTATTCACAAAACGAGTCTCCTAAGCGCGCTTTCTGTTCGAGGAGAAAAGCTGACTGCGAAAGGCTGTTCCGCTATTACCGTAAGCAGTCAACAAAACGCGCACTGCTTTTCTCTCGATGCGGGCCGTTTTACTTCGGAGGTGAAAGATGCGGCCCACTTTACCGCGGTTAACCTCCGTGGTTGTTCTGACAAAAGCTTAGTCTTCTCACATTCATGAAGTCTAATGATGGGTATACTGTAAAATCCAAGTTTAACGGAACCTCCGGCACGATTTGAACATCCATTGACCCAGCAGGAGATGACCATTTTCAACTTTATCACGACATTAACACGTTTCAGCTTCTTTTTCTATTGTTTTGCCCACAGCATGCCAATACAAATGGCGCCGGGTCGGCAAATCCCCGTATGTAGTGACGTCATGTGGGAACTATGTATTGGTGAGCGCGGTCAGCCATCAGTATGTAGATTCTGGGATCGATACCCGGCAGAGGCTGTTTACATATCCTCCCCGTGTCTGCCTCGCTTTCTATCAACACAAGACAAATCTTGAATCTGCTCCACGTAAATACCTCGCACTTGAATTTAAAAACTCAAAAGCAGAAGTAATCAAACCCCAAAACAAAGAGAAACAACGACTTCTTTCAACAATACGCGTGTGTCCCGCCTCCACTTTACGTTGATTGGTCAGGGTGGAGTCTTTGCGCTCTGTGATTGGCTAATTCGCTATCGTTCTTCCCCAAACCAAGTCCTGTTTGTTTTTGTGAGCATCTGTTTTGACATCACCGCTGAAGTTTGAGCCTCTGTCACGCTCCTACGCGCTGTTTTGTGAGTTTATACCCAAGTCACATTTAAAATGTCAAACACAGCTGTAATTTGCGTCATTTCGTCCCACAAAATGTCTTTAATGCTAGTTTTTAGCGGATAACGGCTAACAAGCTAGCTGCACGATCCGCGTCACTGCATCACTTTAGCCGACTCTTTGCTAGCCTTTTCGATGACAACAGCTATTTTACGTGTTTCTTGATAAAACACAGCTGTTATTCACATCATAGCTTCATTGGTTTTTACATATTGTTATTGAAACGCGTCTCCAGCCATGTCAATACGTTAGAAATGCAGTGTTATTGCAATACAGTGGCTAAAAACAGTAGCATGTGCCATATCTCTGCACATAAGATGCAGCCCAGATATGGTTTGTGTCAAAAGAAGCTAGCATAATATACAAAACACACTGCATATGGACGTAAATAGAAGACCTAACTGGATATTTGCAACGTTGGGAGATTAAAGTTGTAAATTTATTATGCCTTCTGCTTTTAACCTGTCCTTCCATGTCACTTAAAGCTAATTATTTTTATTTTATTTTTTATAGATGACACGGGCTTGTCCCAACTTAAAAGGGCCGAGGGAAAATTGGCTTGGTCTCTCTTTTTCACTTTTCTTTTCTGAACAAGCTGATCTAAAGATGTGACAAAAAACTAGTGACAGAAGCAAAATGTTTTGGTAACAAGGAACTGTTTTGTGGTTTGAAAGTCAGGTGTCTCAGCACATTCTTGTCTCTCACTGTTCTCTCTTTCTTCTCTCTCATCTATCCCTGGTGTCTTGCTGGTCTCTCTCTAGTCCCTCTCTGGCCTCTCTCTGGTCCCTCAGATCTCTCTCTTGTCTTTCTCTGATATCTCACTAGTCTATCTCTGTTCTCTCCCTCTGGTCTCTCCCTCTGGTCTCTCCCTCTGGTCTCTCCCTCTGGTCTCTCCCTCTGGTCTCTCCCTGATCTCTCTCTGGTTTCTCCCTGGTCTCTCTGATTGCGCTTTGATTTCTCAAAAGTTTGCTTAGTGGTCATGACTCATGTGGTAAAGAAGGACCTGAAATGCACAAATGCAAAAAAATAATAAATAAAAGTTCAGGGGAAAAACACATTAAAAATTCCAAACTAAACACAAGAACCAGGAACACAACAAAGACCGGTAAAGACCACGACAAACCCAGACAGACCCAGACAGACCCAGACAGGCCCAGACAGACCCAGACAATGGACCAGCAACAAGTGGGTATGACCGCAGGTACATATAGACAGAGAGACACATGTGAAACACTTTGGGGCGGGGCAGACCATCAACAGGGGAACAGGACAGGAAGTAAAAAAAATAAAAATAAATAAACCCTATAGTGAACTGAAGTCAAAATGATGACCATGTGGAAAAAACCAATATCCACACCATAGCACCCCTATCTAGATGCTAATACTATTTAAACTACTTTAATCTGGAGGGACTACACTAGACAGACACAGAAGATGCATTAAATAGCTTTATTGGTTATCATTTGGCACATAGATCCTGGCAGTGACGCTTGATAAGGGGAGATCACTGCTTGATATGAGATGATCTCAGTTTCCCCGGGGCCTAGGAGCTGGTGGTGGCATAAGAGCAAGATCGTGATTATTGCGAATGCCTGGAAAAACAAAAAAACTGAGATTAAAGACTGTGATTTTGGAGGCAATGCAATCCAAATGCTTTTCAAATCAATGACTGTGTGATTGTTTGTGATTTATATTTATGGTTTAACGAAGGAGACTGTGGACATTGCATCTATATTGTCTTTGTCTGTTTCAGGTTTGCGTGAAAAGAGGACATGGCCTCAGACTCTCCGCGCAGACCCAGCCGCTGTGCAGGAGGAGTGATGGTCAGAGCCCACGCCGTTACGTAAGAACCACTGTTTGTACTAAGATTACAGCAAGGATCATTTTTAAATTGGGATTATCAATGGCCCGAGTCCTGGATCTACAGCCTCAGTCCTGGATCCACATCCTCAGTCCTGGATCTACAGCCTCAGTCCTGGATCCACATCCTCAGTCCTGGATCTACATCCTCAGTCCTGGATCTACAGCCTCAGTCCTGGATCTACAGCCTCAGTCCTGGATCTACAGCCTCAGTCCTGGATCCACATCCTCAGTCCTGGATCTACATCCTCAGTCCTGGATCTACAGCCTAAGTCCTGGATCTACAGCCTCAGTCCTGGATCTACAGCCTCAGTCCTGGATCTACAGCCTCAGTCCTGGATCTACAGCCTCAGTCCTGGATCTACAGCCTCAGTCCTGGATCTACAGCCTCAGTCCTGGATCCACAGCCTCAGTCCTGGATCCACAGCCTCAGTCCTTGCTCTACATTCTCAGTCCTAGATCTACAGCCTCAGTCCTGGGTTGACAGCCTCAGTCCTAGATCTACAGCCTCAGTCCTGGGTTGACAGCCTCAGTCCTAGATCTACAGCCTCAGTCCTGGATCCACATCCTCAGTCCTGGATCTACATCCTCAGTCCTGGATCTACAGCCTAAGTCCTGGATCTACAGCCTCAGTCCTGGATCTACAGCCTCAGTCCTGGATCCACAGCCTCAGTCCTGGATCCACAGCCTCAGTCCTGGATCCACAGCCTCAGTCCTTGCTCTACATTCTCAGTCCTAGATCTACAGCCTCAGTCCTGGGTTGACAGCCTCAGTCCTAGATCTACAGCCTCAGTCCTGGGTTGACAGCCTCAGTCCTAGATCTACAGCCTTCGTCCTATAGGTCTACAGCCTCAGTCCTGGGTCTACAGCCTCAGTCCATCTTTGTGTTTTGTTTTCAATTAAATAATAGATCCATCTAGTAGGAAACAGAGCCCAGCCCTCGTTATTTAAGCACTTTTGTAAACTTGACCCCTGAGTTTTTAAGAAATGTGATGTGAAACAGACAGAAGATGGAGCCACAGGAGTTCGTAAGAGAGACAGAATAGCTCTAATCAATGTCAGAAATACATGAAAGAAACAGAAGTAATATAAATGTCTGTGTTTCTTGGCCTTTCTTTTGATAATGTGGACCTGGAATCTGAATAAAGAATTGATGATGATGACTGTAATAACCCCATAGAAACCCTCAGTGTTTTTTGTTGCAGGGAGCAGTCGTACATGGAGAGTGTGGTGACGTTTCTCCAGGATGTGGTTCCTCAGGTCAGTTCTCTCTCTGTGGACTTTTGTCACTTTAGAAACAAGCTACTTAATCCTGCTCTTCTCTACTCTACTCTACTCTACTCTACTCACCTCTACTCAGCTCATAACTTGATAGAAAACATGTTAAAGCTGCAGCTATGAGGATGTTTGTTAAAGCTGTGTTTTGTTTATGTTCAGGCCTACACTGGAGCGCCCCCTACTGACGAGAAGGAGAAGGTCATCTGGGTGCGCTTTGAGAAGGCAGACATCAATGGTGAGAGTCTGGGTCACTTTCTCTCTATCTATCTATACAGTGATGGGGATAGAGAGAGACAGAGAGGAGGGGGGAATAATAATTCCCCCCTCCTCTCCAAAAAGAATAATATTATTAAATACCGGTCTATTACACCTCACATTTCCAGGAAACTTGCTCTCATGTACTGGTCCTTTCATTCCTCTGGTTTCTGTCATTGTTTATAATCCGCTCTCTCTTCCACAGACACGGCTCGTAACCCAGAGTTCATGGAAATGCACAGCAGCAGCTCAGAGCCTCCTCTGTGCCTCATGATCGGATACAGCGACGGTCTTCAGATCTGGAGTCTGTCTGTGAGTCACTGTCATACATATACACACACACACACATATATGTATAAGTATATATATGATTATTTCTATGTCCAATATATTTTGGACATTCAAAGGTGCTTTACACAGGACTAATCTTTCATTAGATTGAGTCTGGTGTGTGTGTCACTGGTTGGTGGTGGTGGGAGGGGCCAATGGCATATATTGGTTGCTTTGCTTCTGTCAATGAGCCCCAGGTTAGCTGTGGCTACAGTAGTAGTTTATCACCATAATGTATGAAGTGAATGAATAATGACATGTGAAGCGTCTCTGAAGGTCCAAAAAGAGTGTATGTAATAAGTTATCACAGTTTAAAGTCTACATTCCAATCTCTTCTTCTTTTGCTTTGACCACAGAGAGCCTTCTATGTGCGTAGTATCCGTTCAGGCCTGTTTAGACCCGTCCCTCTCTCCACTGACCTTAGCCCTTGATCTGTCTGAATGTGGCAATCTCTGTCCAACAAAACCAAAACAGGATCAAAATAGACTCCACAACAAGCCTTGTGTTAGCACCTTGCAGCCACCAGAGGGAGCCACAGACCAGGCCATTTTGATCTGTCTGGACAATATCAGACATTTATTCTACATGTGGGAAAACATTTTTAAGGTGTGTGTGTGTGTGTCCTCTAGTGATTTCACATCAAATCTCACTATTCTAGTACATTGCAGTATTATTCTAGATTATCTCCTGATTCAATATTGCTTCATGTTAGTAATATTACCAGTGGAATAACAGGAACAGGAAATAACAAGAACAGGAATACTATAGAATTCACATGTTTAGTTACAAATTAAAAATGTTATATTATTCTTAATGTGAGTGAGGCCCTAGTGACAAGCTTCTCATAAGCATATGTATTTTACTTTACACATTGAACCCGAGACACAAAAAGTAATACATAATAATCGACCATGCTGTAAAACCTGCTGTAGTTTTAATTCAAGCTGTGCCAAAAAATCAAACGCTTCATAATAATAATATAGCCACAAATGCAGATTACAAGTTTGTTTCCCCAGTTTTCTTCTGTCTCTTCAAATATTCGGGTTCTGATACATTTTTTTAAGTTTGAAGTTTGATTGAGTGTATTTGTGCGTAGGATTTAAAGCTGGGGTGTGTAATTTTAAAGATCAATATTTAATTTTACACATATGAGCTATTGGTCTGAGGATTGAGTCTGTAGACCCAGGACTGAGTCTGTAGACCCAGGACTGAGGCTGTAGACCCAGGACTGAGGCTGTAGACCCAGGACTGAGGCTGTAGACCCAGGACTGAGGCTGTAGACCCAGGACTGAGGCTGTAGACCCAGGACTGAGGCTGTAGATTCAGGACTGAGGCTGTAGATTCAGGACTGAGGCTGTAGACCCAGGACTGAGGCTGTAGACCCAGGACTGAGGCTGTAGATTCAGGACTGAGGCTGTAGACCCAGGACTGAGGCTGTAGATTCAGGACTGAGGCTGTAGACCCAGGTCTGAGGCTGTAGATTCAGGACCTTCAGTGGCCTCCCTCTCTCTCTGTTTGCCTCCCTCTCAAACACACACACCTCAGTTCTGCTCAGTTTCCCTCTTTCCTTGTTTCTCCAAAGTGTGTGTGACGTGAGTCTGACACGGCTGCAGCTCACACCTTCAGTAATGGTCCAATACTTTCCCCAGAACACCTCTCTCTTCCCCACTTCTCCAACACTGCAGTGGCCTGGTTTCTCCCCGTGTGAAGTGACAGCAGCCGGTTGAATTAGTAATCGCAGGTTTGGTGGCGTCCCGCATGAAATATGCACGACGGCTAGAGGTGTGTGAGCTCCTCCTCATGTCGGACTTTCACAGCTTTGGTCCGAGGCGTTTGTCGAAGCAGCACTGACCAACGTTTCATTTAGCACCAGGGTCATGAGGAACTAATGGTGGTTTCTGCTGGAAATGATTGTTTTAATTGAATAGAGCACATGGAAATGGGTGGATTTAAAAATACAAACAACATTAGATTTTACCATTATTTTTTTTTTATAAATTTTGTTTTTACTCAAATCATCAGTCTAATTTGGAGGAGAGCCATTGCTTTTTCACTTTGAGAGGAGCCAGTTGTTTGGGATGCCTCCTGGACGCCTCTCTGGGGAGGTGTTCTGGGCATGTCCTACTAGGAGGAAACCAGGGGAAGAGAGGGACTGTGTCTCCCATCTGGCCTGGGAACGACTCAGGATTCCCCCAGATGAGCTGGAGAGGGAAGTCTGGGAGTCTCTGCTCTGATTTTCAAAGTTATGTTTATTTTTTCATGAGGAGAATTTGGTTTTGCAACACAAAATCACAATAACACTGAAGATGTCAAGAACAAGAGGTCATTTTTACTGACTGAGAGAGACCTGAGAGAGACCTGAGAGAGAGACCTGAGAGAGAGAGACCTGAGAGAGAGAGACCTGAGAGAGAGAGACCTGAGAGAGAGAGACCTGAGAGAGAGAGACCTGAGAGAGAGAGACCTGAGAGAGAGACACCTGAGAGAGACACCAGAGAGAGAGAGACCTGAGAGAGAGAGACCTGAGAGAGAGACACCTGAGAGAGAGACACCTGAGAGAGAGAGACCTGAGAGAGAGAGACCTGAGAGAGAGAGACCTGAGAGAGAGACACCTGAGAGAGAGACACCTGAGAGAGAGACACCTGAGAGAGAGAGACCTGAGAGAGAGAGACCTGAGAGAGAGAGACCTGAGAGAGAGAGACCTGAGAGAGAGACACCTGAGAGAGAGACCAGAAAGCCTCCCTGTCTGGGCTCTCTCTGGAAAGGTCCCAGAAAGGCCCCATCTGGAGGCAGTATCAAACCCTGGGCCGAGATTCTTACTGAGACGTTTGCGTGTCCAATCTCTCTCCGTCCATGTTGCCTTCTCTCCACTCCCTCCTCAGTCCCACCTAACCCCCTCCCCTGTCCCACCCCAGTCCCAGTCCCACACCTGTGTCCCCCAAAGCCCCTCTCGTCCCCATATGTCCAGTGCAGGTCCTGCAGATTACCTCACCACATCCGCAGATTAAAACACTCGGCCTTTGCACGCAGCGATCCGCAAATGAAATGAATATTATGATGTGTACACGCCTCTCTCGGTACAATAACCCTCAATTTGGCATATTGCGCATCCTCGCTAATGTAATAGCAATATCCCTTTGTGTCTCTTAGCCTTGTAAACTCTAGCAAAAGAGCATGCATTAACCCCCCCCTCTCCCCCCCTTCGTCCTAATCTCACAAATTCCATTATTCTCGTCTCCATTTGCTCGGCCCGGGCTGGTTCTCGCGAGTGTTAATCCTTACAGCACTTTGAGTAAGAATGAGAAGTACACGTGCAATCCGCCACTTTGCCAAGGTTTACTAATTGCGCGAAAAAAGCGATGATCCGGGCGGCTGGGTTTAAAGACTTGGATTACGGCAGCAGGCGATAGTGATAATGCAGGGTTTATTTAACGCTCAGGCAAGTAAGGGGGGAAAGGGGGAGAAAGTGGGGCAGGCGGTGCTTAGGACAATGCTATTATCAAGACAACACTAATATAATGCACTGTAATAGCAGCAGCCGTGGCATATCAGAGAGAGAATACTATTTGCCTGTCAGACTGTACGACGAACAATGAGGACTAGCGGACACTGACCTCACATGTCGTGCATCTGTGCAATTACTTGAACTAATGTCAGTTCAAGCTAGAGATGTTATACCTGCTTCTCTATGATGCTAAAGTTAGAGATTTTAGACTTGCTTCTTAATTATGCCAAAGAATTTATATTATTTTAGTATAAAGTTTCTCGTTCTTGCTGTTCTGTAACTGGTGATGCAACACTGTGGGACGAATAAAGGGTCTCTTCATCTTGATCTTAAACTCAATATTTTGACTGGTAACACACGTTATCTTGTCTGCTGTGTCTTCTCTCCACAGTTGTCCGGAGAGGCTCAGGAGCTGTTCTCTGTCCGTCACGGTCCTGTCCGAGCGGCTCGCATCCTCCCAGCGCCGCATATCAGTGAGTTTTGTTTCTGGTGGAGAGAGAACCTCATGAGGATTATGTGGCAGAAGTTAGAACCTGGTCTCTCTCTGGTCTCTTTGGTCTCTCTCTCTCTGGTCACTCTGGTCTCTCTGGCGTCTGGCTTCTCTCTCTCTGGTCTCTCTCTGGCCTTTCTCTGGTCGCTCTCTCTGGTCTCTCGCTCTAGTTTTGCTCAATTCGCTCCTCAGCACTGTGGAGACCTGCACAGAAAATTGCCACAAATTTAGAGTTACATAAATTTGCCATGGATGTGTAACAGGTTCATTTGTTTTTCTATAGTGACTCTTTGTCTCTGGTCACCCTTTTTCAAAAATCCAAATGTTCCTGAAATTCCCCAAAAAGAGCCTCAAAATGCATATCATAATCCCCATTATTATAAATGTAAATACATGTACTATGGCTCCTCCGTTCGCCGCGGTATGAACTTTTGCACTTCCGACAGCCCCAGAATTAGCTTCTTCCGTTGTTTGGGGTTGCAAACAGTTTAACCATTGAAGGCCAGACCAGGGTCCTGATTTGGCCCTGGTCTCCCCCTGGTCTCCCCGCTGAGGTCAGGCTGCTGGTCATAATTAGCATGGGCCTCAGTCACTCTGAAGCCTGTTTTGTTCCAGATCTAATTATTTATAACCAATTTATGATTTATTTATGAACCCACTGGACGGTGTGTCATAGGGTTAATATACTGAACAGACGTGTGTTGGTTTGATCCCAATTGGGTTTTAGTATCAGTCATTTAATTTGTATTGGTACTTTTAAATAATACTAATAATAATAATAATCATTTATAGCACACTCATACTCATACACACACAAACACTCTTCTTCCTCCACGTGCTTCTTCAGAATGTTTTTTTGTTTAAAATGTAAAACATTTAAAATGTTTTGAAATCCACTTTAAAACCAGATACATTCAGACACACTCACTGTTGTTTCCTATTTTTAACTTGAATTAGTATAAGTTCATCTAGTACATGTGGTTTTGTCATCAAGACTGATAAAATATAGAAATTTATGAAATTTATGACTGACATAGGTCCCAGTATCGACCCTTGCGGTACCCCAGAATTCATGTCCCTGCACCTGGATTTGTGTCGATCTGTCGTCTCATGACATTATTATTTCTCCATTTCTTTGTTCGTCCCCTTATGGCATAGATTTCCATTTTGTTCAAGTTATCAAAGCTATTGTGTTTAACAAACCAATGCTATGGAACGCTCTGCCCCCTATATTAAAAGAGTGTTTTAAGTCTTGTTTTAATCAGAATCAGAATCAGAATCAGAATCATTTTTATTGCCAACGTAAGTAACGGGAGGTCACAGACTTGGAAATTGCTTTGGCTCAGTGCAACAGTCAAAAAGAGATAATAAAAATAAGAATAAAAAACACTTCTAAAGAATAAATTTAAATTTAAAATAGAGTTACAGTTACTATTTACAATATACAAGTGCACATGGTGCACACAATGTAAGGTGACAGCAGTACAGTGAAGTAAAGTGACGTATGATGGGCAGTAAAGTGACTTTATAAAGGGCGGGGGGACAGGTTAAGAAGTGTTCAAGAGTCCAACAGCAGAGGGGAAGAAACTGTTCTTGTGGCGGGAGGTTCTAGTCCTGATGGACCGCAGCCTCCTGCCTGAGGGGAGTGGTTGGAATAGTCCATGTGCAGGGTGAGAGGGGTCGGCTGTGATACGACCAGCCCGGCCTCGAGCTCGGGCGACGTACAGGTCCTGCAGCGATGGAAGGCTGCGGCCGATCACTTCCTCTGCAGAGCGCACAATGCGCTGTAGTCTCTGTTTGTCCCTGACTGTGGCTCCAGCGAACCACACGGTGATGGAGGAGGTGAGGATGGACTCGATGATGGCCGTGTAGAACTGCACCAACATCTGTGCAGGCAGCTTGGCTTTCCTGAGCTGCCGCAGGAAGTACATCCTCTGCTGGGCCTTCTTGATGAGGGAGCTGATGGTCGGCTCCCACTTGAGGTCCTGGGTGATGGTGGTGCCCAGGAAACGGAAGGACTCCACAGAGGTGATGGGGGAGTCCATCACGGAGGGTGGGGGCGGGGGGACAGTGCTCTTCCTGAAGTCCACAATCATCTCCACTGTCTTCTGGGCGTTCAGCTCCAGGTTGTTACCACTGCACCAGGACACCAGCCGGTCCACCTCCCTCCTGTAGGCGGACTCATCGTTGTTGGAGATGAGTCCAATGAGGGTGGTGTCGTCCGCGAACTTGATCAGCTTCACGGAGTCGTGGCTGGAGGTGCAGTGGTTGGTGTACAGGGAGAAGAGCAGGGGAGAAAGAACACAGCCCTGTGGGGCTCCTGTATTTATAATCCGAGAGTCCGAGACATTCTTCCCCAGACGCACTCGCTGCTTCCTGTCCGTCAGGAAGTCAGTGATCCACCTGCAGGTGGAATCGGGCACGTTGAGCTGGGAGAGCTTGTCCTGGAGCAGGGATGGCAGGATTGTGTTGAAGGCAGAGCTGAAGTCCACGAACAGGACCCTGGCGTAGGTCCCCGGGGAGTCCAGGTGCTGTAGGATGTGGTGGAGGGCCAGGTTAATGGCGTCGTCTACAGATCTGTTGGCTCTGTAGGCGAACTGCAGGGGGTCCAGGAGGGGGGAGGTGAGGGACTTGAGATGGGAGAGAACCAGGCGTTCAAATGACTTCATGACGACAGACGTAAGTGCTACAGGTCTGTAGTCATTGAGTCCTGTGATCCTGGGCTTCTTCGGGACGGGGACAATGATGGAGGATTTGAAGCAGGCCGGGACATGGCAGGACTGCAGAGAGGAGTTGAAAATGTCTGTGAAACACAGGAGTAAGCTCACTGGCGCAGTGTCTCAGAGTGGCCGGAGACACGTGGTCCGGGCCAGGAGCTTTGCGGGGGTGCAGCCTCAGGAAGAGTTGTTTAATCTCTTTAGCGGCTATTGTTAGGCTGGGGGCAGGGCTGATGGGTGGGTCGTTAGAGTAGTGGGGGGTGGGGGAGGGAGAGGTGTCAGGGGCAGCATCAAAGCGACTGAAAAATAAGTTCAGATCGTCAGCTAGCTTGTGGTCATCAGCACAGGGGGGGGCTTTGGGTTTGTAGTTGGTGATCTCCCGTAGGCCCCTCCAGACAGAAGCAGTATCGTTGTTACCAAACTGCTCCTGTAGTCGTTCTCTGTGCCGGGACTTGGCTGCTTTCAGTTCTTTCCTGAACTGATATTTAGCTGCTTTGTAGCCGCTGCGGTCCCCCTCCCTGAAAGCAGACTCCTTTGCTTTCCTGAGCTGCCGGAGTTTAGCAGTGAACCAGGGTTTGTCGTTGTTATAGATGACCCTGGTCCTTGTTGGAATGATGCTATCCTCACAGAAGTGGATGTATGACGTCACAGTGTCCGTATATTCATCCAAGCTGTCTGTGGCAGCTCTGAAAAGGTCCCAGTCTGTAGATTCCATGCATGCGCGCAGCTCTTCCACAGCTTCATCAGACCACACTTTGGAGCTCCTCACTGCAGGTTTCGAGAGCTTTAGTCTCTGTCTGTAAGCAGGAACCAGATGTATCATGGAGTGATCTGAGAAGCCGAGGGCTGGCTTGGGAACAGCGCGAAAAGCTCCGCGCACGGTGGTGTAACAGTGATCCAGAGTGTTCTCCTCTCTGGTCGGGCATTTGATAAACTGTCTGTATTTGGGTAATTCCTGGCTCAAGTTTCCCTTATTAAAATCCCCCAGGATAATAATCAGAGAGTCCGGGTATAAGCGTTCCATACACAGTACTTGCTCTGCGAGTGCGCGCTGAGCCTCGCGCGCGTCCGCGCATGGCGGTATGTAAACAGAGGCAAGAATGAATGAAACAATTTCCCGCGGGGAGTAATATGGATTACAATGAATGAAAAGATATTCCAGAGCAGGAGAGCAGTGCTTGGAGATCACTGTCACATCGTTACACCAGTTTGTATTGACGTAGAAACAGAGCCCTCCGCCTCTGCTCTTCCCTGAGAGCGCACAATGGCGATCCGCGCGAAACAGCCCAAAGCCCTGCAGCTCCAGAGCGCAGTCCGGGATCCGCTCATTTAGCCAGGTCTCAGTGAAGCAGAGGACACAGGATGTGGCGAAGTCCTTGTTTCTTCTCATGAGCAGGCTGAGTTCGTCCATCTTATTGCCCAGTGAGCGTACGTTGGAGAGAAAAATGCCGGGGAGAGCCGTGCGCGCTCCTCTCCTCCTAAGACGCACGAGCAGGCCTCCTCGCTTTCCCCTTTTACGGGCCCACACTTTTTTGGCTAGAACATGAACTAAATCAGCCGCAGATGCCAAGAAAACAGGCAATAGGTCCATGGGAACGGAGGGTCGGATGTTCATAAGTTCCTCACGGGTGTAGGAACAGCCAGATGCACAGTTAAAAAGTAAAAACAAAAGAAAAAGAGAGCAGCAAAGAGCCATGTCGACCGTACGAGGCGCCATCTTTTGTGTTTTGTGTTTAAGACCCATTTTTATGCCTTGGCTTTAAAGTAAGTAAGCAACTAGTAATAATCTTTATTTATATAGCGCATTATACAGACCAAGCTCACCCGAAGTGCATTTTATTGTTTTATATATTTTGGTTTTATCCAATCCCATTTTAAATTAATTTTACTGTCTTGTTATGAATTTGTTTTTAATTATATTTTAGTCTTATATTATGCACCACTTTGGAAACTGTGTTTGAGAAATTTTCCACATCCATAATATTAATATAAATTCCTATTACATATTTTCATACTTTTTTCACATTAAGAAGATTGGTATCGGTACAGAGTCTGTCCCTGGGGATCATAAAGATTGGATTGGGAGCCAAACAAACTGGAACCTTAGTACTACTACAAGTTTGAACCAGGATGGGGGGTTTATTTGTATAGCCCAATGCATACAGTGCGACACTAGAGCATCATTACTGTCCCGTGTAGGAAAACCAAAGCCCATATATCTTCTGGAACCAGCAAGGCACCATCGCAGCTAATCGGATGAGCACATTTCCTGTCAGTGCTGGTGCCGTGGTGCTGCTGTGCTGTGGGCTGAGGATAAAGGACGTCTTTGTGGCTCAAATGTCATTATATTTCTGTCTTTCTGCTCCGTCTGTGACTTGTCTGTAGGCTCTGTGAAGACTGACAGCTTCTCCGACAAGAGGCCTCTGCTGGGGGTGTGCAAGAGCGCCGGCTCCTCTGGGTGAGTGCCGATAACTGGCTGTAAAACTCAATCACACAGAGGCTGAAGTCTGTGTGGTGTGGGAGGTCTCGCAGAAGGCTTTTGTGTTGGAGAAACTTGAGCTGTATGATATGGGAAAACAATTCAATTTAACTTGTGTGTGTACAGCTGTAAATCACAACAGCGGTCGTCTCTGAGGATTTTACACAGGGTCAGAGATGTATCAGAGAATCAAAGAGTTTGAAAACATGAAATGCAATGATAAAAATCACAAAAGACCACTGTCCAGAAATGTTGATAACCGTCACAGATCGTCACTGTCCTTAGACCCTCCTGCATCGGCACGAAGCGACACAGAAACTCAGTGGGAAAAAGTGAGAAACCTCAGGGAAGACCACAATGAGAGAGGGTTCTGCAGTCATGGATGGACAGGCTGTAGATCCAGGACTGAGGCTGTACATCCAGGACCGAGGCTGTAGATCCAGGACCGACGCTGTAGACCCAGGACCGACGCTGTAGACCCAGGACCGACGCTGTAGACCCAGGACGAGGCTGTAGACCCAGGACCGAGGCTGTAGACCCAGGACCGAGGCTGTAGACCCAGGACCGAGGCTTTAGACCCAGGACTGAGGCTGTAGATCTAGGACGGAGGTTGTAGATCCGGAGCAGAGAGCGAATCACATTATATCATGTTATAAAATCAACTCAAGGCGCTCTAAAAAAGCAAAGCAAGATAAGTTTTTTTGTATACCACAGTTCATACACAAGGCAACTCTAAGCACACACACACAAATCTGCAAAACAGTGATAACTGCATAGAAAAACCCTCGCCTCTCTTTTTAACAAGGCCTCAAACACGAACACTTCTCTCATGATGAAGCTGTCCATAAAACGTCCATAAGCAACCGGTGTTTGTGCTTTTTCATGTCACAAATGCAGCATCTGGGTCTGATTCGACGTTTTAATAATAAGAGAGATCAAAGCGTCTCTTCAGACTGGTCGTGCGTTGGCCCTGTACACGCTGCGTCTCTCTCTGACTAAAGCCTGAGTCACAGATTGGAGCCAAACCCTGGATCAAGAGAGGCACCTGTCTCCTCCACAGACGGGGTGAATATGTGATGATGCAGGCGCTTTCTGCTGCTTTTATGGAGTGAATCTGAATATAAAGACATGAGTAAGATTCCTGGAGAGTAAAGAACCCAGGACTGAAGCTGTAGACCCAGGACTGAGGCTGTAGATCCAGGACTGAGGCACAAGATCCAGGACTGAGGCACAAGATCCAGGACTGAGGCCGTAGATCCAGGACTGAGGCCGTAGATCCAGGACTGAGGCCGTAGATCCAGGACTGAGGCCGTAGATCCAGGACGGAGGCTGTAGATCAGGACTGAGGCTGTAGACCCAGGACTGAGGCTGTAGACCCAGGACTGAGGCTGTAGACCCAGGACTGAGGCTGTAGATCCAGGACTGAGGCTGTAGATCCAGGACTGAGGCTGTAGACCATCTTTTTGGCGGCTGTATTTGCAAGCTGAGGGACCAGGCTGGGAGTTAGAGTTTATTTTTATAGCAAGGCAACTCAAAGTGCTTAACTAAACAAGGTAGAAACATTAAAATCACACATAAATACACAGTGCATTACAAATAGTAAAGATACAATCCTTCAGTTGTTGCAGAAACAGATCTGTTTTTAACCTGGATTTGAATATTGTCAGAGAAGAAGCCTGTCTCACATTTTCAGGAAGACTTTTCCAGTTTTTAGCTGCAGAAATCTGAAACACTGCCTCCTCCTGTTTAATCCTGAGGAGGCCAGTCCCTGTGCTCCTCAGAGTCCCAGCAGGAGGCCAGTCCCTGTGCTCCTCAGAGTCCCAGCAGGAGGCCAGTCCCTGTGCTCCTCAGAGTCCCAGCAGGAGGCCAGTCCCTGTGCTCCTCAGAGTACCAGTTGGTTTATTTGGCAATGACATGTCACAGATGTACTTTGTTACAAGGCCTCGCACCAAACTGCTGCTTTAAAGTGTTTTCTCTGAGCCACAGAAGCCAGTCCTTCAAACTTTTACTTTTGTGTTTTGAATGATTAGTGGAATGACCAGTCCTCTTCTCTCTCTGACTCTGTCTCTTCTGCAATACCCTCTATCCGTCCTCCAGTCTGCAGCGCCGCGTCCTAATGGGTTGAAATGTGTTTAGAACTCTCGCCGGCGCCTGTAGCTCCGCGGTGACCTGCTTTTCTCGCTGCTTTTCGAACATCTCCAGCTCTAACTGTGTCCATGCTCACGAGGGGAAATGAAATAAGGAAGTGTGTGCTCCTGCAAAGACCCGGCTGTGATGGATTCCAGGGACAAACGGCTCTGTCTGAAATACGTCTGCTGGAGACGGAATCGTATTAGATCAGAGTTTGGAGAAGACCGATGAGGACTGGGCTAATGCTTGGAATGACAGGACACAGTGGACTTTTCACCATGTTCTATGAGGAGACAAAAATGTGACGATTCGATAGCATTGCAATATTTGGGCCACAATTCAATATTATTTTGATTCTTAACATATTGCGATTCGATTTCTCAAACATGGAGGAAAAATAATTGTCTCTGTGGCATTTATTATGATCTGCACATGAACTGAAGCAAACACTTTGGAGGATTGTGCAAAAAAAAATATTCTATAGGACACAGGACCAGACAAGACATCATTATTCTCTTAATAGACAATTCTCACAAGAAGGGTGATGATCATAGCCTACAATTTGATAAAGCTAGAGATTACATTTTTTTAGTATAGCAATATTGTTACTTTCTCTTGCCCTGTGTCGTCCTCCTTCCTACTCTTCTGTAACTGATGATGCAACACTGACATGTATTATTATCATTATTATTATTTATTCATCTTTATTAAGGACACAATACATTCAATCAATTTACAATTCAATACAATGTGTTCTTGTATAGCCCTAAATCACAACAGCAATCATGTCAGAGGATTTAACAAAACCATTGAAATCACCAACACAGATCAAAGAATCAACAGTTTAGACACAAAAAATACCACAAGGAGAGACCAATGTTGTTGAATGTTGTCCATACACTTTGTAGAATTTCCCCACTGTGGCACGAATAGAGGATCTTTTCATCTTAATCTTAATCTTAATCTTACAGAACCATTCTTAGTTTATTCCAACGCTGGTTCAGTTCCAGTGAAAACGGCCATCACTGTGTAAAACCACATACTTAAGTTTGTGTCCTAAAAGATTCTGTTTCTAAATCGGTTCTTTTAAAATCCACTGAACATGAAGACATCGTCCCCAAATGCATAAAACACGTGTGGCTGTGACCTCTGGCTGCGTTCGGCCTCCTCCTCCTCCTCCTCCTCCTCCTGCACCAAAACAACTCAGAGGAAAAAGGCTTCCGGACTTTCCACAGAGACATTCATAAACTTACAAAGGTCCTCACGCGCTTTTTAGCATATAATCATTTTAAAATAACAGCTTTTGTGAACCACCAGAAAGGATGCCGTCTTTTGACACTCAAATGGAAAACACATTGGAGCTTCGGCCACTTCTTCTGCTTCGTCTGCTCCAGGCTTAGATTACACCATTTGCAAATTAAAGGAAAGAAAACCGAAGAGAAGGGAGAAGAGATCAGTGCCGGTGGATTGAAAAACACACTTTCAGAGTCAGTTTTATCAATGGAAAGACTTGTGTGCTAAGTCCAAACTATGTATGGATGAAGCGATTTCCTCAACAGCCATATTCTGCTGTAGGGATTTCGGACGGAGCCAGAGAAAACTGCGCTCACGGCCCACTTGGCAAAACGATCCTCCATCCCCCAACGGAAGAGACAAGACATAACATGTATCTGTCTGGATCATTATTATATATTTAGTGCTGTTGGAGCTAAAACAATGATAGTGTCTTGGATAATGCGCTTGAAGAAATACAATATTGTAAATCCCTAAATTCTTCCTGTGGCTCAGAGATTAGACTTTAAAGCAGCTCTGTTTGTTAAAAATCTCTCCGTGGCCTCGCACCAAAGTACATCTGTGACATGTTACTGCCAGTGAACCAACTCTGAGGAGCTCAGGGACTGGCCTCCTGCTAGAACTCAGAGGAGCACAGGGACCTCTTTCCTGCTGGGACTCTGAAGAGCTCAGGGACTGGCCACCTGCTGGGACTCTGAGGAGCACAGGGAGGTGCCCAGAGTCAGGACTAAACATGGGGAGGCAGCGTATCAGATTCATACAGCTAAAACAAACCTGGAACAGTCCTCAAGAACCAGCAACTGTAGAAAAATGGCTTGATATTTCAGAAAAGGTTGGAGAGAGACCAGTGAGAGAGACCAGTGAGAGAGACCAGTGAGAGAGACCAGTGAGAGACCAGTGAGCGAGACCAGAGAGAGGGACCTGGTTTAGAAAGACTAGAGAGAGACTTGAGAAAGAGAGACCAGAGAAACAAACCAGAGCGAGAACAGAGCGAGAGAGACCAGAGAAAGAGAGACCAGAGAAACAAACCAGAGCGAGAACAGAGCGAGAGAGACCAGAGAAAGAGAGACCAGAGAGAGATCCAAGTGGCGCAAAGAGAACCAATAGATCTGAGGCCATCGTCCTTGTTGCTGTATTGAAACCATCGCCTCTTAAACCTCTCTAAACATCTTGCAAATCGGATATTCACCCATAATTGCATCAGTCAAACTTCTTATGCTAATTCTTGTGTTGGAAATGGTTCCTGTGCCGTCTGTAAATGTGATTCGTGTGTGTGTCTGGCGTGCTGGTCTGGATCACAGTCCCAGCGGTGAAAGAGGAGGCTTTGTTCTTCTGCTCTAAGACTCTTCCTTCTCACTGCAGGCGCTAACAACACGTCGGCTTTTCCAACACAATATCGCACTGTTCTTTCACCATGAGATTACGTTTCTATCTGTACATCTTCTTTGGGTGACGTTCAGTCCCATCGCGTTGGAAAAAAGCAGAGATGATAATGATCTATCCCTAAATACTGCTGCTATTTATTGAACATCGATAAGTAATTGTTATTTTTGTGA